ACACGTGAACCATAAACCCTTTTAGCGATCTATTTTACGCTGTCAGTGTTAGCCTCAAAACCATGTCATTATTCTTTTATTAACTAACAGTCCGTGCAAATGCAAAAATACCCCATGACTATAGAAGACAATGGAAATAGTTTTAAATTTCACGAGTTTTATCCAAATTTCTGATATATTTTGCACACAATTGTGGCTAACACAGCGTAAAAATAAGAGATCGCGAAACTCAACTATTTCATCGAGAAGGATTGCATTTTTTTCATTTTATTTGAGCTCATGAACGTGATCGTTGTCATAGCCAAGCGTGTTAGACTAATAGTGTAATCTCTTTTTCTTCCATGGTTCTTTGTTTCTTTTTCTTTGTATTGTTCCTTTTCTTTTCTGAATTTGTGTGTGTACGTGCTAAAATGATTTGTTGAAAATTGATATTAGACACGTACTGAGTGGTGCTTGATTAAGAAATGGTTTTTGATATGATGTTTTTGGATTTCTCAACACAGTTTTGTAAACATAATACTTTTGATTAAACATATGATAAGTACTTTGGCTTAAAAACGTGACTTTTAATCCATGTTTTGCAACTAGATACTAGTATTTAGTATATACACGCTGTTATATAAGGCGGCACCCTTGAAAACATAATTTTCCGGAGGTTTTGAATTATATACTGTTCTGCAATTAATTGAAGTAATATATAAATGTATACGGTCGTTTTTTTTTTTTCTTTTAGCTTCAACTGAAGAGGTTATTAAAGGAAACTGGTCTTAACTAATAAAATAAACGACAAAGACAAAAAATTACGACGTTTCGAGATCGACATGATCTCATTCTCAAGTGATATATTTTATTTGCGGTAGTTGATTTTTATAACAAAATTTTGTTATAAAAATCAACTACACAGCAAATAAAATATATCACTTGAGAATGAGATCATGTCGATCTCGAAACGTCGTAATTTTTTGTCTTTGTCGTTTATTTTATTAGTTATTTCCAAACCTTTGCTGATCAAACTGGTCTTAAAGCTCAAAAAGGTTCCGAATATCAGTGCTGTAAAGAAAATAATTCCCGTTTCTTTTTTCTTTTCTATTTTTTTCCTATTGCTTTCTTGAAAAGTAAAACTAAAAGACAAAAACAAAACAAAAGAAAACAAAATTAAAAAATAAATAAAAAAACTAGAAACAACAGCAGCACCAGAAAAATAAAATAAAAAATAAAAAATAAAAAGATGATGAAAGGGAAAGGCAAAATAAAAAACAGCTTTTTTGTTCTTTTTACAAATGTTCAATCAATCATTTCAATCAGTTTTCTTTTGACTAGTTTTGTTGATCCCAGAGTTCCTTACTGAACATTTGTACTTTAGTGCAAAAAGATATTGAATGTAGATGTTAATTCATTGGTATAAATCAACATTAGTTTAAATTAAATAAGTAGTGATGCATTAATGCATCATTRGCAATTTACCGATTAATATATAACTGATATTTTTCTTTCTTTATGGATTTATCTCTCCCTCTTCAAGGTCCTTCCTAATTTCCTCTCCTATTCTTCGTTTTATATCATTAAAATCTTATCCAGCGTCAGTCAATTCAAAAACAAAATCGCATCTTTCCAGCGCTTCCTAGCGTTCGGGATTTCGCAAAAAATTGTTTACAAATCCTGAGATATAATGATCGCTCCATTTTATCCCGACATCCCTTAGGGCTCCGGAAATATTCCGATGAAATCAAAGCAGAGCTCACTGATGTACGCAAATTGAGACATGCAGGGATTATTTTATAATCGATGTCAAAATTTAACCGGAGATTGAATTCCTTCCTTTTCTTTGAAAAATGTTAAATTGACGGTTTTTTTCCCTCTAAATGTGTTTAAGATTAAAGAGTAGACGCTCAAAGTTATGCCGCTAAAAATGTATTGATTTTTGCTAATATTTATAAATACATATGGAAACATTTTGCACATTTTTTTTCTTCAATATTGAGCGTTTTTTAACAAACAAT